AAACCTTTCTAAACAACGGTAAGCAGCCCACCAACTCCTCGGGAATTACCTCCTTTTGGACCCCCCCTCCCCTTGGAATTTCTGCCCTCCGTGGAGGGGGTGCGGAGTGGGGGTATGGATATTTTCTGGAACTACACAATTCAGAAAATGTGTTATTTTCCCACACAAAAGATTGTTCGATGCTTATCATTTTTAATGATTGTTGACAAGTTTGCCACACACACTTGTATATCACGGAACACCTTATGTCTAATATTTATAATAACCACGCAATTCACTACTGATTGAAGAAATCGTGATGTACAGCGTCGTTTCTTTGTTAATTGTTTAAAATTTCTATAAAAAGGCGGAAAAGATCTTGTTTGTCTAAGTTTGCTTTTCCCCAGCTTTTTCTTCCACATCAAGACGAAAAATAATTGCACTTCCCCAACTGTTTAGCCGTGTTGATAACAGACTGCAAGAGATTCGGCCTTCCGTGTCGTAGCTCAGTTTTTGCCCTAGTATGCGGCATGATTGCCATCCTAATCAGTATTTTTAAGTAGTATTTAAAATATGCAGATCCTTTTTGTATATATATACAACAAGATCAATTCGCGTCCGAGACGCCACATGCGGCGAAAACGGTCCATGCTGTGTCAAAAACGTTGTTGCTCCTTCTTTGGTACGTATTAACATTGACAGCTTTGTTGTTTTAGTCTCAGGAAAATTTCCTTGTTTTCTCGAAATAGACATTTTGTTCATTTTAAACTACAAGTCGGGAACCAAATTGGTAAAGATTTATTCCACGGGCAATGCAATGTTTATCCCAACTTAACAAAAGAACAAACGCAAAAATCTGAGACACTGTTCAAACATGTCGCGAAGAGAATGCGATCTTACTCAGTCTGGTCTCAGGATAAATATTACTTTAATTTTTATGAGTTCCTCAAGCTATCTCGTGCATGCGATATCGTGTAGAAGAATATTGCTAAAACATCGCTTTTTGTAACGTTTATTATCTTTTTTCTTTTTTTGGTTTCCACTTTTTATTTTTATTATTTTTATTTTCGACGGTCTGACAATTTGTCATCTGTCACCCACCACCCGTCACCCGTCACCCGCCACCCGCCACCCGTCACCCGTCACCCGTCACCCGCCACCCGCCACCCCTCACCCGTCACCCGCGGAAAAGTCCTGCCGCGTGCTTTTTCGTCCGCAAACTGTTCTATCCCATCTTTACAGGAGTTTTACTTACCTCATATTTTTATTAGGTTTTTAGTTCTTTATTTCGAGGCTAAATTTATACAGTTTCACTGATGTGAAACAGAGCAGAAGTTTGAATCAGAATACTATATATCGTTGACGGAAAGAGTGATGAAACAGTATATTAAATAGTGTTTTTCGAATACGATAAATTCAAATTGTATCTTCTAATTCTTTTCATCTCGGTATTTTTTTTTGTTATTATTAAATTTGTTTTCTTTTAATTCAATAATTGCCTGATATATCCAGGGCCCGCGGAGCAGTTTTCAAAGTGCGGGGGCCGATCCACCTCTTTTGAAGTGAAGTTAGGAGAGGGGGCGGGGGGGAGGTTGTGGGGTTGTGGACTTTAAAAATGGTTTACCTGGCTCCGACTCAATATTTTTTAATACAGTTGCAACTCATCAATCCTTTTTTTAAATAGTTTAACAAACGAGAAAAGAGTTAGTAACAAAAAGGTGTAACCGTGCATAGCAGCATCATAAATTTTCGCGTGTTTCATTTACTTCAAAAGCTTGTCCGTTTTCTCCTTGCGGCTGCCAGTAGAACCTTTCTTTATTCATTGTCACGGAATGGAGCCATGTTTCAGACGGTTTTAACCTTCGAGATGCCGAAATTGACCTTTTCCTGCTGCGATGCATGGTTGCGGATTTACCAGTAAAAGCTTGCAGATCGGGACAATTTCATTATCATGCTCTGTAATATCTTGATATTAAAGTGTGAAAACATGGAACGGTTATCCAGAAATTTTTAGCTCTTCTCAAGCTTTAGAGATTTCTAGACAATATTTGCTCCTTCGAACAGTTATTTTACACAATATAGTCGCTAGTTGCTCCTGAGTTTTGTAAAGATAGTCGTTTTCAGTGAGGATCACCGTATGATATTGGATCGAAACGGACCAATCATCAATTTGGATGCTTCGGCGAGGTTTGCCAGTCGAATATTCTTATTCCATCAAAGATTCCTTTTATTTTAAGATGCGTATTTCTTGTCTTTCCTTTTTTTTCAAAAAGTTGTAGTGGAGGAAGGGGGGGGGGGGGCCTCCCCCTGCGGGGGCCCTGACATCATACTGTGTTTCAGATAACACATCAGTTGTTAGACTGCAAAACAGTCCGTATTTTTGCGTATTCAAGTACGCGCGAGCAGTCAAACAAAAGGTCTGGAACGAGGCTGAAAACAGAGAGCGAGACTTGGGAGAGACGCTAAAAATACATTTTTTTTTTCTCGTGCCTCACACGCGACGCCCTACTCTTTACCGATTTCTTTACTGATTTTGAGAAAAACACCAACTGTTTAGCAGTCTAATCAGTTGTCTACTTTTTTTTAAAGTTCTTTTTCTTTTTTCTTTTTTGACCGTCGCATATACGAGTCAGTAAATATATTTTCTTTGTTGCTATCTAGACTGCAAGGTTATCCCAGTATAGAGCACCTTTATCTGGCTGATTCATCGCTTGCAAGAGTTGGTTCATAGAAGCACTCAGTATCTATTTACGACTTTGTCCTCATAAATTTTGTTTTCTTCTAATTCGATCCAGTAACTGTCTGATATATTACTCAATGTTTCAAGCGCATCAATTATATTGTCTAGTTTTTGTTTATTTTATGTAGCATGCATGTATACGACTGAGCAAGAGCCAGCAAATAAACTTTACCTTTGTTGGTTTTTAAATACGGCTGCAAGGTTATCCCTTGTAGACCAGTTTATTTCTGTTATTTGGCCGGTTCATCGCTCAAGAGTTGGTACATAAAGGCACTCTTATTTACGACTCTGTCCATTCAGAATTTCACCTAAGATTTTTGTGTAATATTATTACTATTTTATCGCATTTTTCTCGGTTCTCAGAGACTGTCCAGTTCGTTATTCGATTGCGTTCGGAAAGTGCTGATTTTGGCCATTTTTGACGGAGAAAAGCCACTTGTTTCCCCATCACCGACAATAATTCTGCGCTCCCTCTATAAAATAAACGAAAACCACCGGGTATTGTATGGAATTTTTGTTTTGAAAACAGAACAAAAATCATTGAAATTTTGTGGCAACAACATGCAAGTTAGCAGACTCTACTGATGTATCAACTAATCTGCATAACGAGAGACTCGGGTTCAGTCTGACCTCATACACTCAGCTACACTGCATGCCTGGTGGATCAGTAGGGTTAGTACTTATAGTTAGCCTAGATGACCAATTTTGATTTTTCTGTTTTCACGGTTTCCGCATCTATGGGACGATACATTTTACGTAATAAGCACACGTACCATCACTGCGTTATGGCCAGTACCTTGTGTATGCGCACAACCATTTTCCCCGAGCAGTGGCAGCCATGGACAGCTGGTTAGCCCTTACTGGAGCTCATCAGCTTGGCATAGCCGTTGGATCAATTAGCGGGGGGTACTGCCTAAGCGAGTGCAAGCACTGCTTTAATCGTAAGCTCCACCGTAAACACGTGGTAGTTGTTGGTGGGGAACTGCAAAACAGTTCTCCCACGGCATGCGTATGGAGATGGTATCAGAAAAATTGACCTGTGTGCCCAAATAAATTTGAAACCAATTAACTGCACCGAAGCACACGTACCAACTCCGCGGTGTGGCCAGTACTTTACGCATGCGCACAACCATGAGCCCCAATAAGGGCGAAACAGCTGTCCATGGCTGCCACTGCCGGGGTGATATGGTTGTGCGCATGCCTAAGGTACTGGCCGTACTTCGGAGTTGGTACGTGTGCTTCGGTGCAGTTAATTGGTATTGTTTCTAAATCTTTCAGTCAATTTAAACGATTGGCTCATCTGAATTTCTGACTTTTAAGTACTGTGTACACGGCATTCATGAAAAGCAGGTCTTAGTTAGGTTAGTTGTGGTTTTGCATGTTGTTTAGGGTACTTAGGTTTATTTAAGAATTTTTTATACTCCTGATGAATTTTACCGGGTTTAAATAAAGAATTATTCTTTACTCTTCCTATCAGTTGAAATCCGGAGTACCCCCCCCCTGGCGAGGATGCCAAACCGACAGTCACTGGACAGTGTACAGGGGAACTCAACAGGAAATTTTAAAACAACAACAAAGCATAAATAAAGCTTTCTGAAGCCATTTGAAGCATTTTGAGAGATTGCTACTCAAAATTAATCTGTTCCTCACTCCCAGGAAGACTGATGGAAGAGTTCCCAGCCGGCAGGGTGCACCTATAACCTACAACCTGACTTACTGGAAGTTTCCCAGCAGACGTATGTCCAGACATTACTGGCCAGGTGTGGTGTGGTCATAGGGCAAAGTTCACCCCTCAGCAGTGGGGGTGGGGGGGAGGGGTTTGGGGGAGGGGTTTCTGATGCATAACACATAGTAACTATTCTAAACATCAAATCCCCTTAGACACATTTTTTTCTTAGCAACACTTTCCTTCCAGGGACATATTATTTCTTCCACATCTCCCAGCCAGCAAAAATTGGCCTGAAGAACAGATATTTTGAGGAACAGATCCTTTGGGTGCCCCTGAGTGTAGCCTAGCAGCACTATACGATGCGTCCTTAAGAGTGCAAAGTTTCTTGATTGAAGTTTTGAGACTAACGTTCCAAGTCCTTTAACAAACTTGTTTAGCAAATCACGCCGTGGTTGGTGACATTGAACGAAGGGTATTCATAGATTATAATAATTTGAACTCAATTGAACTGTTGCAAATAAATAATTTAAACAACTCTTGATCGGCTGAAAGGTGAAGGTGGATTACTTTACGTCAAGTAAATTCTTATACCTAACTTCCATTTGTTGATTTGTAGATGAGTGTAAGACAGGACAGCATAACTGCCACGATGATGCGTACTGCACCAACACCAAGCGTTCCTTCACTTGTACTTGTAAGCCAGGATATACTGGGGATGGTGTTAACTGTGCAGGTAGCAAACCATACGAAGCTTAAACTAACAGGATTTCATCTTTAGTTTTATGCTATTCCATACTATAAAGATTAGAGCCAATCAGAAAGCTGGAAACCGGTTTCATATTTAGTCAATGGTATGTCACAGATCGGTAGTTTCTACCTGTTGTGGACGGGTTCAATCACAAAATGACGTAATACAAAAGATTAAAAAGACACTGTACAATATCTACACCACATAACAATAGCTAACCAACAAATGGTTTCCCCATCACCAAGAAACACCCCACAGGTCGTATCCATGAAAAATGTCTGGTGTTAGTTGCAGCCTTCAGATTCCCCGTAGCCTGCGAACAGGCTCACATATGCGATTTCGAGGGAAATTTGGGCGTGCACATTTCCAAGCCCTTTTATTCTCGCCGGCTTTGTCTGCTCGAGCCGCCAAAATTTTCCTTTTCGCGGGCTAAATTCCCCCAGCGAAAGCTTTCCAAGTGTGCAACATCTAAATTGGTTTATCATTTGTATTTTTTAGTTATTTGGCATTCAATCTAACTTCCTTTTTTGTTTTGTCCACTACAAAAGTTTATCATTCTATAAAAATATGAAATATATCTATCCTCATTGGATAGAATCGACACAAAAATCGAACCTGATTGATAATTCAGCATTAACTCTTGATTTGCAGACATAAAGGAGTGTGAGACTGGAAACCACCAATGTGACCCCGATACTTCAGTGTGCGATAACACTAAAGGATCTTACAAGTGTGTCTGCATGTCGGGTTTTTCCAAAAGTGGACATGAACATAAATGTACAGGTAAATATACCACCGAGCACTTCAAGATATCAATTGAAATGGATACTTTAAAGATGTCTTCTTCTTTTGTCGAATTTAAGTGGGGTGAATCAGGTTGAAATGATAAAAGCATCGTCAAAATAGGAACTTATACGGCATATTATGATGCTTAACAGATCTACAGTTTGATAATTCAGCATTAATTCTTAATTTTCAGATATAAACGAGTGTGAGACAGGAAAACACAACTGTAACGCCACCAGTTCATTGTGCCAAAACACTAAAGGATCATTTAAGTGTGTTTGCAGGGAAGGGTATTCCAGAAGTGGACCTGAACAGAATTGTACAGGTAAATATACTACCGAGCACTTCAAGATATGTTAATTGAAATGGGTACTTAAATATATCTTCTTATTTTCAATTTTCCTTTTCGCGAGCTAAATTCCCCCAGCGAAAGCTTTCCAGGTGTGCAACATGTAAATTGGTTTACCATTTGTATTTTTTAGTTATTTGGCATTCAATCTAACTTCCTTTTTTGTTCAAAAATTTATCATTCTTTTGACTATAAAAATATGATATATATCTATCCTCATTGGATAGAATCGACACAAAAATCGAACAAAGCCTGTTGACAATTCAGCATTAACTCTTGATTTGCAGACATAAACGAGTGTGAGACTGGAAACAACCAATGTGACCCCGATACTTCAGTGTGCGATAACACTAAAGGATCTTACAAGTGTGTCTGCATGTCGGGTTTTTCCAAAAGTGGACATGAACATAAATGTACAGGTAAGTATACCACCGAGCACTTCAAGATATCAATTGATCTGCAGTTTGATAATCCAGCGTTAATTCTTAATTTTCAGACATAAACGAGTGCGAGACAGGAAAACACAACTGTAACGCCACCAGTTCATTGTGTCAAAACACTCAAGGATCATTTAGGTGTGTTTGCAGGGAAGGGTATTCCGAAAGTGTACCTGAACATAATTGTACAGGTAAATATACTACCGAGCACTTCAAGATATCTTAATTGAAATCAGTACATATAAATATATCTTCTCCTTTTCAGGCACGGGTTTACGTGAATCAGGTTTAACAGAAATTGTGTAATTCATCAAAAACTCTCGTTTTCTTTTCTTAGTTTGTCCATTTTTGTTCTTTTGCTTTGCTTTGAAAATAGAGATTGAATTAAAGAGATCGGAACTAACTACTTGAAGAGCGCAAAATAGAGCGACGCACTCGCTCGAGGGCCATGCGCACCGTCCTTCTTGACCTGGAATGAATGACAGAATGACGCATTGTCGATGTTTTTTTTTTTTTTTTTACAGTGTCAACTTGCAAGGACATTTATGACACGACTTTGTGAGTACAGCATACGTGATTACTATGGCGTTAACAACATTTTTTACTACTTTTTTCTGTGTCGTTACAGCACACAACTCTTCTCATATCATAGTAGGTACCAGTTTCTTCAGGTTTGGACTTTAGACAAGGGCTTTCTTTGCGTACAATGTAACCACATCCCCCCCAAATTAACTGTTTAAGCTTCGTCATGTGGAGCACTATGTCAGTTAGTGTTATCTGGAAAAGGTGACTGCAATTGTTTTTACTAAGAGCAAAATCTCCCAAGTTTGAGCTTTAATTACATATTGCGGACAACTGAGATCTCGGAAAAATGAAATTATGGCTTTAATACACATAGAGGAAATCTTGCTAGGACCAGTGTCAATACCAAATTTTAAAAGAAATTTATCGAACACTTTCGCAGTTGTTATCGCGTTTATAGAAGTATGACACCACTTTTATGAAAAATTAAAGATTGGAATAAATTACTGATAAATCTGAGAAAGGTTTAAGTATCCGAATTGTTAGAAAGGAATACGAAGAGCGTTAATTTGCTAATTAAAAGAATTTTATAATTCTAATTAAATAGACTTTGAACTTTTGAGTAATCAAGGCAATAGAGTGATGAAATATGTTGTATAATTCATTTTTACCGTGCATATTTCTTAATCATATAAATTATTATATATATGTTAATCAGTATTATTCTAAGCTGTTTAAATTTGAGGGCCACAAGTTCATCCGTTTGACACTCTTGCTGTCACTTGTTACCTTCTAACGTAAATCCAGTTGTCATCTTATCTTACTGTGCAATAAACAATCAAGAAGGCAACACTATTCAGGCTGTGTTAATTATATTTTGCCATGTCACCTAGTGCCGTAAAATTTAACTGTAGCAGCAAAGGTTTCCAAATTTTTCTATAGATATTATTTAAGTGTTTTGAAGTCATAATAAGACAAGATGTTCTTCACTTCAACCTTTTTCAGGGGCCACAAGTTCAAATTTCCATCACTTCGGCTAGTGTTATGTTTGTAGCTGTCTGTCTATTAGTTTTCAATAAAGTGTTTCTATTTTTAAGGTTGACATGCCTCTGAGACAAATTTTGTTGTCTCATCTTCACACCCTAAAGAATGGGTTTGCCGGAAATGTATTGGTAGCTTTCTACCTTTCTACACACATTATCTATCGACATAGGATGATGAATGCTGGTGCAACAGCAGTACCATGAATAATGATGTGCACCTACAAGCATTAATTGAAAAGAGCATGCAACTACAAATCATGCAATCATATAAATACCCGGAGCATGATATCGACATACGATGGGCTGATGACGGTGGCCCAGAAGGCTCAAATACGAGCAAAAAAGAAACCGCAAATAAAAAAAAATAAAACGCAATAAAAAAAGGAAAACGCAAATGAAAAAAAGGAAATGCAAATAGAAAAGGTAAGCGCAAATAAGACGAAAACTTAAAACAAACACGCAAAAAAAAAGCACAACACAAACAAATAAAACATACAAATATATTAGAAAGGCGGAAGTAAAAAGCAAAACGGAAGTAAACAGGAAACGCAAAGAGCCTGAGTTCTCGTAAGCCGCCATGTTTAGTGCTTTTGATACAGTTGCAATGGACAGCAAAGAAGTAAGGCAATTAATTGAACTCTATTTTCACCATGGATGTCAAAACCAAGTTGTTGTTGATTTCCTTAATAATCGACATGCAGTCACAATGAGTCCTTCAACTTTGAAACGACGGCTTTGTGACTACCGCCGGCCTCAGCAGAAGTAGCGTGGACGTTAGCGATCACGATGTTAGGGAAATCGTGCAAAGGGAAATGTCTGGTCCTGGCGAACTTCGTGGTTACAGAGTAGTGTGGCACTAGGTAAGATTGAATCATCACATCCATGTTCCAAGAGAAAGGGCTGCCAACATTCTTCGTGAGCTAAATCCAGCTGGAACAAGAGAGAGAAGTCTGACACAGAAGGGTACAGTGAAAAATCCTTTGGTTGGAAGTTGAAAGGTCAAATAACAGGCCTGAGGTCCCTTCAATGTGTAAAAGAAAATGCTGGTTGTCCACGCCTTGGGAGAATTGATCGTGGAACTTCGGCAGTGTGTACAGTTACGTCAGACAAGAAGGCAAAGGTCTCGCTGATCTCTGCACATTTCTTCTACCACCGGCAGGGAGAAGTGAGAAAAAAATTCACTAGTGCTCATTTCTTAATTCTCAGGACTTGTCTTTTGCATTTATAATTATATTGTAATGATAAATTTGAAGCAGATCGCACGCTTGGTAAATAAGGCATATTTAGAATAATAAAATAACTCAGGAGGAAGAAAAAGGGCGATATACTATGACTTTACTATGCCCCGTTTTAAGACGGTAAAATACGGGAAACTCTCTCTGAAATATCTGGGACCTTTCTTGTGGTCTAGGCTAACAAAGGAAGAAAGTGACAAGAACAGCTTGGGAGTTTTTAAACGTTGTATAAAGAAAAGATATAGCAAATTTAATTTCAGATGGCGGATGTAAAAACTGTCTTTTTTGCAATAGTTGAATTAATCACTTGTGCTGCTTTAGTTTAATTATTATTGATCGATATAATTGTTATATGTTATGGGGGCAACCAGTATCTTTGTAAGTACCTTTGTATCACCTTTACATCTTATTGTACAAACTTATTTTATTATAAGCAAAACTAAAATGTGACTTTCTAATTTGGGATAATTCAGAAAAGTATTGGTATTTGACGCTGAAAAAGTTTGTGTTTCTGAAAGGTTTTCGCTAATTAGAAGGAGAAAAAAAAGTGTTTAGTTGTGTCCACAAGAAACAACACATCCAATTTTCCAATTCCATGAAATTGCGCAATTTCATGTGAAAGAGATCGTACACCCATTGCCCTTTCTTTCTTGGAGAGATTCAGAATTTCTGATCCGCCGGCCCACAGCTTAACAGAACAAAACAGTAATCTATTTTTAATCCCAGAAGGAGTCAGAATTTCTGATCCCCCATCATGGCAAAGGACAAAAACGGCTATCTGTTCATAGTTATGAAAGTATTCAGAATTTCTGATCCCCCGGCCCATAGCTTGACATAACAAAACAGTAATCTATTTTTAATTCCACAAGGATTCAGAATTTCTGATCCCCCATCACGGCAAGGGACAAAAATGGATATCTGTCCATGGTCGTCAAAGTATTCAGAATTTCTGATCCCCCGGCCCATAGCTTAACAGAACAAAACAGTAATCTATTTTTAATTCCACAAGGATTCAGAATTTCTGATCCCCCATCACGGCAAGGGACAAAAATGGATATCTGTCCATGGTCGTCACAGTATTCAGAATTTCTGATCCCCCATCACGGCAAGGGACAAAAATCTATCTGTTCATGCTTGTCAAAGTATTCAGAATTTCTGATCCCCCAAGCAACTTAAAAGAGAAACAGCATTAAATCACATCATACATCACCTTATTTAACCTCGGATTTTCGGTAGTGTAGCTCTTGAAGCTAACATCTCCGAAGATAGAAGAAAACAAATAATAAACAATAGTAATAATAATCCTAAAAGAGAAGAAATAGAAAATAGAAGAAAACAAAAAATAATAGGAAATACAGAACTATAAGAAAAATAATTTAACTGGTTGATTACTTGTATTATTATATTTATTCAAACGAAATTTGCCGCACTTTGAATTTGTAGCGATTTATTCTGTACAAAGTGCCAAGATTCATGTATCTATCTGGGAAATGAAAGGAGGTACATATACAATGACTCTCGCCAAGATTCAGGTCAGAGGAATATTTCGTATACGAGATATCCGAAGAAATGTTTAACCCAAACTTATAGAGATTTGTATGGAGACGCCATGCTGGTGCTCACCTGGATGAGCTTCAACATGGCGGATGGAAACCAACAGAAACATCTGTTACCGAGTTTTGCTACAAAAGCGTGAATATATTCGTCGAGAAACTCATAAACATTAAAGTAGTACTTTTTCTAATACATGAACGGTTTAAATAGCAAAATTTCCTGAAATAAGTCATTTTTTTAACCTACGTGACCGCTCTCTTGGCTGTCATGAAAATGCCGCCTCACCGGCAAAAGCTTAGAAATTCAAGCGTACTCTATCACAAAACCAAGAACCCTTTTGAGGCGAAAATTTGTATGAAAATTAATTTTCAGCTGCTCGAAAGCATCGTGAAAGTATAATCCCGGTAGGATCGATATTTTTTTAGTTTGAATTTTTGTGACGTCATGTGAAAACCAACAATAGAAGTATGACACCACTTTTATGAAAAATTAAAGATTGGAATAAATTACTGATAAATCTGAGAAAGGTCCAACCGTCAGAATTGTTAAAAAGGAATACGAAGAGCGTTAATTTGCTAATTAAAAGAGTTTTCTAATTCTAATTAAATAGACTTCCCACTGGTTATTCTGAAGCTACCTTTGTATTAGTAATTTTTGCGAAGGGAGGGCGCAGCAAATAAAGGCGGCTTCCAGTGCTATCACCATGGAAAAGGCGCACGTGCCTAAACTCTGCAAGTAAGTACGAAGGCGCTATTCCGTGAAGACACTTATGAACTAAGACGCATTTGAGATAATTTCTGCGTGCTTGTAGGCTGGGCCAGCCAAGTGTTGATTTTAACTCCTCAGCCCCGATAGATCGACCTTCAAACTTGCGGCGCGTCTATTTAGCTTGTCTAGATAAGCTTTGCTCCCAACCCCACAGCTGTCCCAGACAGGCGAACAGTAATCAAAGAATGGCAAGACTATAGTATTTGAGAGCATTTGACAAGTTGGCTTGGAAAGAACTTTACGCGCTCGACGCAGAATACCTAATCTATGGTCCTTCCAAGATAAGGTGTTGTTTAGGACCCCAAGATATTTAAGCTTGTTAACTCTTTCTTAACGAGTGTTACTGATTTCTAGTACTCCTCTGATGAGTACCAACAAGCATAATCTTCATTTTTTCAAGATTATGTATTAGAAAATTAGCTTGAAGCCAGCTTAGGACGTAAGTTAGGCCACTAGTTAACTGAGCTTGAATTTCACTGACCGACTTGCTTGCAAAATAGACAAGTGTATCGTCAGCATAAAGCTCGACGCTACAACCTTGAACCGCCAGAGGTAAGTCATTTATGTAGACGATAAATAATAAAGGGCCAAGTACGCTATCCTGGGGGACCCCGAAAGATATAGTCTGGGGCTCAGACACGACCCCATTAGTGCAAACACTTTGGGTGCGCACAGCTAAGTAGGACCTAAACCATTGGACAGCAGAGCGATTCATTCCTGGTGAAGTTAACTCTGATCCAACATGATGCTATGATCTAAGGTGTCAAAGGCCTTGCTTAGGTCTAAAAATATAAGTCCAGTTAATAGTCCTTTGTCAATGTTTTCCAGCAAACTGTTTGTCACGTGTGATGCAGAGTCAATGCGCTTGTCATCCGTTTCACTCCAAGATACCAGGTTATTAGGTACGAAAAACAGTTCAGGGACGATTTCACTCAACTTCATTTGAAGTCGTTTATGCTTGAATTAGAGGATCCTAACGAACAAGTAATCGCGTTCAATACTCTTATTTCGGACTGTTTAGAGTGAAATGTACCCTTAAAGCGTGTGAGCGTGACAAGACCACCTGCGCTCTGGTTGAATGATCCGAACATTCGAACGCTGCAGGAGGCATGCAAGCGTTATCGTAGGGAAGCACATATACCCCCTCACAGTGACGCTGCGTGGGACATCTTCAAAGACGCCCGTAACAATCTTAAGAAACTGATTGGGAAAGCAAAGAGAAGGTTTATGACCAATGCACTCTCGTATAAGCGGCACAAGGAAGTATGGAAGACGATCCATCGCATACTTCACCCTAGCCAGCAACCAATAACTGTTTATTCGGATAATAAGCACTTTACTTCTGCAGCTGAGCGTGTCGATGCCTCAGTGGCAGTTGATAAGGAGGAGTTGCATAGGCGTATTAATGCGCTTGCGCAGGATCCTGATACTTCCTTTCGTCTGAAGAGTGTTACCTATCATGAAGTTATTGGGGAGAGCAAAGCGCTGCGGCCCGACTGCTCTACTGGTCCGGATAACATTCCAACCAAATTCATCAAGCTAGTTTCAGACCATTTAGCATCGCCTTTAACGCATATCTTAAACACGTGCATTTCGAAACTGGACTTTCCAACTCTTTGGAAGGTTGCACGCATTAGTCCCATTCCGAAGGTGGGCGAACCCCAGGCAAATGACGATTTTCGCCCTGTTTTCATTTCGCCTGTGTTATCAAAGGTTAATGAAAGACTGTCTTGACGACAAATGGTGGATTTTCTCACGGAAACTGCGCGGCCTCAGCCAAATGTAAGTGCATACCGCAAAGGACACTCAACTACAACTACTTTGCTTGCAATAAGAGATGATATCCCCAAGGCAATGAACAGAGGTGAGGTCACCATTGCAATTATGGAAGACTTTTCTAAAGCTTTTGATACAGTTGTGTGTGAGACATTTCTGTGTAAATTGCGTAAGCTAGGGTTTTCCAAGTCCTCTCTACATTAGATTCTGAGTTATTTGACTGATCGAACGCAGTACGTCCAAATCGGTGATCTCTGGTCGGAGCGCATAAATGTGTCTTGGGGTATTCAACCTTTATGTCAACGACTTGACTGACGTACACCCAACCGAAGTAAATTGCCATCAATATGCGAAAGATATAACGATTTATAGTCACTCTAAACCATCTGAGCTTCTGTGGGTTGTCGGGCGGAGATGCAGGCTGTCTACCTGGTCATTCCGATGTAACCTGGCGCTCCATCCTAAGAAGACTAAAGTAATGCCGCTTCTTTCAACTCCCCACGTGTCACAAACTCATGGACTAGACGGACACTGCATCCATCTCTGCGCAAATGGAAAGAGTCTCAAGCGAGTTTTAACTTTCCGCCTACTTGGTGCGGAAGTGCAGGAAAACGTCAACTGGAAAAGAGAGAGAAACTCCAAGATCTCAAGTTGTTACGGAACCTTGTCTGTACTGAAGAAGCTGAAATACCTTGACCCGTATAATGAAAAAAAAAACAGAAAACACTTGGCAGAGTGTCTTATTTTGTCAAATTATAATGACATTGTCAGTGATACTATAGCAGATTATCTTGTTAAGAGACTTCATCGAGTATAGTTAGCGGCTGCTAAGCTGTCTACCTGGTCATCCCGATGTAACTATGTGACTAGACGGACACTCCATCAATCTCTGCGCAAATGGAAAGGGTTTCGAGCGAGTTTCAACGTTCCGCTTAGCGGTTGCTAGTTTTGTTTTAGGACGCTACGCAACCAAGCTTGGTTTGCTTTATTAATTACGTTCATACACTCCCGTGGTTCCCTCGAAAACCATACCCGATTCCAGACCAAAATGGGCAAAGTCTATACCCAGTTTCAACCCAAAACGGCCCAAAAACCCTACGGCGTCCAGGATCGATCTTGTTAGCAAAAATTTACTAGCAAATTGTTTTCGCAATTGTCGCAAAAGAAATGATTGAGCAGAAAATTATCTGAAATAATCACTTACAAATATCGCAAAAATCGCAAGAATAACAAATGTAACAAAATTTAAGACTTAGAAAGAGACCAAGCCAAGAAGGGCCCCGAAAAGTCCGCAAATGCAAGAAAAATTGGTTTAAAAAATTTGTTTTGTTTTTTGTAGGCCCATGTGGGTTAGTTTTGTCTAATTCTAAAGTGGATAAGGTGACTCCGCTGTTTTTTATTAAAACAATCAATAAGGGCTGCAGAGTTGCTAGCTAGGAAATGCGGTGCTCTTCCGATTAAATTGTATTTATTCGAGAGAGCGCTCTTTGATTTTTCGACTTTATTAGAGGGCGGCGCTCTTTCAAGAAACTTCGGTTTTCAGTTCATATGAGGGCCTTATTTCACGTGTGGTTCATCTGCATTACATTTGGAAACCTTTACGTTTGTGGTCAATTATCATATTTCTGGCTTTAACGGCCTAACTAACCGTTTTACTGCTTTCGAGCGGGTGCATATAATTCTTTTTCAGGCGGCAACACCCGACTATTACCTACCTATTACCTATTGTTTTATTATACAATTTATACATGCCACATATTTTAATTGTATATACATTATTATTATTATTTCTTATTTGAAAATAATTTTTATTTTTGTGTCCCCAATTAGTTGTGAAAACTAAATACATTGACACATTAATAAAGCTTTTACTTACTTACTTACTCAAATAATCCTCGCTGCATTCGGCTGGTGCTACTTTTGTAACCGTGCGTTTGCCGAGGTATATCAATTGTTCATTAAGTTTTTTTTTGTTGTAAGGTCGACATTGCTCCATACCAAATGTTAGTTTTGTCCAGGACGTACGAAAGATTGTCATATTCTTTGTTTATATTTATTCTTTTTATGTCTCTAAATCCAATCGTTTTTTGCATCTGATTGAATATGAGGACGGTCACTTACTAAAACATGCAGAGAAAACAAATCTTGCTTGATTTCATGCAGTGCCTCAAAAATGTCATTATATAAATATCTGTTTACTAGGAAGCGTGAAAACAAAGCCTACTTACTGAATGTGGAGTCCAAGCAAATTCCTGTGTACTGTCAGATGGAAGCTGCTGAGCTTGGAGCATGCGGAGGAGGTGGATGGACGCTGGTCATGAAGATCGATGGCAAACAGGTAGCAGCAGCGGTGCAACAATTTTAGTATTCATTGATAATATATTGCCCGCGTTCATGATTGGATCCAATTCCTCGACTAATTCTTCATAACCAACCTCCGCTTATATTACCATATTTGGAAGATGTAGGAAATATACATGATCGATTCGATCGATTCTATGGTATATTTAACAATTAATGAATGAGGCTGAGTATCTTATGAAGAATTATGGAGATCGAGGAGGATGTTATCCGTGGAGGCCGTAGGCCGAGGCTGATAACACCCTCCGAGATCTCCATAGTTCTTCATAAGATACGAAAGCCGAATTCAATAATTGTTTTATTATTCATTCAAAATAATTCCTAGTTTAAAAACAAAGCTAAAACATGCTTACCTCCATCGATGTTAAGTTCACCTTCTATAGTGCACGTTTAGGGTTTTCCGGCTCCGCAAATGTTCTCCAAATAGCCTCCGAGATCTCCATAATTCTTCATATGATACGAAAGCCGAGTTCAATTATTGTTTTATTATTCATTCAAAATAATTCCTAGTTTAAAAACATGGCTAAAACATGCTTACCTCCATCGATCCAACGATTTTAAGTTCATCTTCGATAGTGCACGTTTAGGTTTGTCCAGCTCCGCAAATGTTCTCCAAATAGCAGACGTCGCCCTTCGAGTTGTCTTCTTGCTGTTCTTGCCATGTGTTTAGCTATTTTTTCGCCTAGTTCTTACTCTTGAAACGAGTGAAATGTCCACCATTTTTCAAGTTCACAACCAAAACAAATAACCCTCGTCCCCAGGTCTTCTCGGTTAACGGTGCATTAGCCTGCAAGAACGCTACATTTTTGACGTCATTTCCTCGCTAAACACAAAATTCTTCCAAATTTGGTCATCAGTAACTGGTTATGGTGAATTAAAAATGTGCTTTTAGCCAATCAGAATCGGAGAAATATTTTGAATGAATAATAATGCCCATTATTAAAAACTGGCTCATTGGATAATGCAATTCTAGTGCTCTGATTGGCTTAGCCATCATGGTATATGAGCCATTAATAAAATCCAACTAGTGGTCTATTATCACTGCTGCGTTCTGATTGGTTGAGCTACTACTAGGCTATATGTTATAGCCCACTAGTAGCGAAAAGCGCGGGCTTTTTGGCGGCAAAAAAGGATTAAAGTCCAGCTTTAACTAGCTGTTTTTTTTTATTCTAGATATTTTTGACCAACTGGTTGGATTTTATTAAAACAATTATTCCTCTCGCCCTCATGGCCTCTGAGTCAATAGCCCATTCGACCTTCGGCCTCATGGGCTATTGACTCAGAGCTCACTCGGGCGCGAGGAATAATTGTTAATTATACCATGCTCTCCAAATATGGTAACTGTACGCGTCTGCTCAAAATTAAAAACAAGCTGAAAATCGGTTGTTTTTACAAATAAAGTCGGGAAGAATTCTCGATACTGTTTTGTGGGCGTTCTTGATAAAACAATTATTCTACTCGCCCTTGTTGGATATGAGATGATTATAGCCATCTCGGCGCTACGCGCCTCGTTGGCTAATCCACCATTTCATATCCAACGCGCACTCGTGGAATAATTGTTAAATAACCCATCGCTCAACCTCGAGCAGTTTCCTTTAAACTATTTTTTGCTAAAATTGCGACCGAGAATTGCTAGCAAATCAGTTTCATAAGTGAACAGCGGAGCTGGTTGGTTTAGGAAAGTAACTAAACAGCTTTTAAACAATTAGCTGAAAGGAAGCGAACATACCGTCAGCTTTTGGCTGGGGGTACAGGTATTGAAATATCAAATTTGGAAATTGCCAATCCATACTGGACCGCACGGTATGGGAGTCTGTTGTGTAAACCATTCCGGCTCATGATTAAAATCAGCTGTTAGGTAAATTTTGAGCTTTGGTATGAATGGGGCAAAGGGCGTGATTTCAATCTAGTGCAATCCTTGGGGCAAGTTTTTTTAATAGCGCACGAACAAAACGTTTATTTTCTGAAATGTTGATAGTCTCAGATGAACTGTTAGTTTTACAATGAAGGAGCAGAATTTTTGTACGGAAATTGATTTTATTTAATTTTTACCCTTTTTTGTCATATTTCCTACCATAATAACGTACGTTGCGCAAAAGTGGGTGATACGAGATAGTCCGTGAGGAGAATCTTGTGTGCCGCTCGCAAAAATGTTACCGTGAAGGTTTCTTACAAGAATAGAGCTTTACTGACAATTTTATGAGGCTAATTTGGTTCGATTTTGGCTGAGTCCCTTTTTATTTGCGTTTTTATGAACCGAGACCGAGTTGAGGTCCATAAAAACGCGAAAAAGAACCAGCCCAGTATCCATTCCTCTTAACCGAAGATTTGATAAATCAAGGATTTATCACATGGCCAAAAAGGAAATTGTTTCTTGCACAGACCACAGGATTCGCTTCATCTTGACGGGTCGTAAAACGACCCGTCATATAATGTAGCCTCTTCACACTGGCTCACTAGTACACCGAGATGGCGGCCATTGACCATCATCACAGAAATCTCGCCATGTCACGTCATTTACCTGGCTGGGGTATTTATTACATTATTTTAATTCTTACCAGGCGTTTGATTGTCTTAACCTAGATATTCTAAAAGCTACTTGGGGAGGGGGAGGAGGTTGGATGTAGTTGACCCCCAGGGCCCAGAAGGCCAAGTCTTACAAACTTTTGGAGCAGAATGCTGTGATGTCATGTGAAAATTGTTTGTTAATTGACGATATATCATTCTTTATCTGTTTAGAATACCTTTCATTACGATTCAAAATTGTGGACCAACAAGACGGACCATAATTCCTCTGCGGGAAAGACCCTGCTTGATCATCAAGAAACAAAATTACCCACCTACTGGAGCACACCATTCACCAAGATCTGCCTCGCTATGAAGATCGGCCATCAAGTTAATTCGATCGTCATCAACAAACACGCCAACTCCTTACACTCCCTGATCGCTGACGGAAAATACCGTTCGACGTCACTGGGTCGTGACACCTGGAAGAAGCTGATTGGCCAACAGGCATCGCTGCAGAAAAATTGTAATAAGGAAGGGTTCAATGCTCTTTCGAAGCGGTACCAGAGCAAAGTAAGAATAGGTATCATAAGTAACGAACAAAACGACTGTATATCCCCTGACTCAAGAATTGGGTTTGGTACTGGTGGTTATCCTCATGATCGTCTCAACACCTGTGGAAACGCGGCCCAGTATCAACCAGACAATGGTCGCAAAAACATTAAAGCGATGGGCTACATCCTGGTGCAATGAGTATACAAAAGCAACGTCAAAAATATTGTTCCACTTCATATAGTCAATCATCAGTGTCCTTTACAATGCTAAATAGAAATTGTAGGTTAAGTGAAGGATTAATTCTTGCGTGAACAAATATTTGTGGAAATTAAATTGAATAAACGCATTGCAAAAAACAAAACCTTTTGTTCTGTTTCCCCCCGGGGGGTACTCCTCCTACTAATTCTTGTTGGGGGTGTGCCGCCCGGTTCTCCAAATCCTTACCCTATTTCGGACCGAAAAATGTCATTTTCTAGACCCGTTTTCAGACCTAGCCTTATGTTAGTGTTACTTAAATTAGAGCGCAAACAAAAAAAAAATCCTTAAATTCGTTTCAATTTTCGAATTCGCATATTTCTCTTTCTTTCTTACTCATTTGGAATTGAAACGGCAAATACGTTCATACACTCCGTAGTTCCCTCGAAAACCATACCCGATTCCAGACCAAAATGGGCAAAGTGTATACTCGTTTTCAGACCCAAACGGCGCAAAATCCCTACCCGATGGGGCAGCAAATAACTATATAATTTATATGAGGGAGTGCCCCCCCCAGGTGTTTCCTCTGTCTCAATCATTCATTTATATTTTTTCCATGATAGGTCTCTCTCCAGGGAACACTCCCGGAATTTTTAAAAAAAATAGCCCTTTGACGCATCCCCACAACCCCCTTCCCCTACCAGGGCTAGCGCCCAAAATTACACACGCACACACACTCCATGACACAAACCCGACACTTTCTGGCACAACACAGCTGGAAAAAAACACTTAATCGAAACAGCGCCACCCGAATAACCTTGGCATCTTTTAAATCGAAAAGCAATAAGCGCCGCGGCACTCTTTCGAAAAATTCAATGTTTTACTGCATTTAATTGAAAGAGCTCCGACTTCAAGTAAGAGTTGCACAGGAGAAGAAGAAAAATAAATAAACGCCTCGGCGCTCTTTCGAATAAACATATTTTTCTCCTGCTTTCAACCCATTCAAGCGATAGTGCCGCATTTTCAAGCAATATAGCAGCGCTTATTAATTTTTGCTAATCAGACCTTTTAATATGTTGATTACCATTACTGATGTAAGCTTGAAGCATATTGATATAAGTTTAAAACCAGTCTTTAGAAGAAATGAAAGTTCAAAACAAAACAAGGTTTGAACTTTCATTTCTTCTTAGCAGTATGGTATTTAAATAAGTGTGATGAAAGTGATAATAAAGTATCTCCATAAACAACTTTAAATTTTATTTATCGTAGAGTACGTACGTGATACTCCCATTAATTGAGTCTGCAAGGCTGCGTATTGAATTTCAGTCAGTAAAGTTCGCGCAAACCAAATTGTAAAAAAAAATCGGAAATTTCAAAAGAGCGCCGCGGTGCTTGTTGAGTTTCGTACTTGAAGATGCCAAGGTGATTTGAGTGAGGGCTTTTTCATTTTAAATGTAATGCAACAACAACATAAGCTTTATTTGCATTACTATATATTTACAGTATTGCAAAAGCTTTAAGATAAAGTTACAATTTACACTAATGATAATACAATGCAAAAATGATTAAAATGGTCAATCAAGTGTCATCAGTATGATTTGATAACAAATTATTAATACGTAAATCATTACATAATGAAATACATTTTAACAAATGTCAATTTACAGAAAAATTCTGTGATTT